CAGGGGTGTCAGACTGATGGTGCCAGGCTCGTGTCAGGTGTTCAGTGTTCAGCGATTGCAGTGAGGCACGGGAACCCGGGCACGGGAACCCGGAAGGAGAACGCGGGCGAGAGGCAGAGAGGGAGAGGGAGAAGGAGAGAGAGAGAGAGAGACAGAGAGGGAGAGAGAGCGAGAGAGGTTCAGAGGGGTAGGCAGTAGAGTTTTTAAGGGCGCACACAGGCACTTAATACGAGACCAGAATGATTGCAAATCATGACAAAATGATGACTCATAATCTCATAATGATGATCTATTAGCCTAATAGTCTATTGGTTTGTTAGTTTATGACTCTATGACTCTCCAACCTTCGTACGGACTGGAATATTACAGCTGAAGTGACTTTTGCTTATGCTTCAATTATGCAGCTTTGTCGTAGCTTTGCCAACTAATTTGAAAAACTTGTTAAGTCCAAACTGCTGTGTGAATTCCGAGGTTAATTTGCCGTGCACCCTGGTGCACATTGCAGGCTGGCTCGGGCACGAAGTGCAAGCTGCCACTTTTGGCGTAGCAGCAGTGCACTGAGCGCTGTAAGCAGTAGGCAGTAGCGCAGTAGGGGCTGCCTTGGACATTTACGTGCGGCTGCTGCTGATCAGTGTCTGTTCGGGCGTGTCATGTCTCCTTTGTTGGGAATGCTTGCCCAATGCAGGCGAGCGCCTGCTACTGCTGCATGCAAGCTCTCGATTCATCCATCCACCTTGTCGGCGTCTCAGGCCTGCGCTTGACTTCATCATGTCGTGCAGAGTCGAACTCTTGCAACCCAATGTGTGCACTGTAGTAGTTGCTGCAGAGGTCACGCTTACATGCCTTCTGTTGCATTACATGACTACATGAGTGACTCGACTGTCGCGAGTCACCGAGTCACCGCATGACAGGAACATTGCAGTGTGATGACAGTGTGATGTATCGACGTTCTGTCTTCTGTGCAGTGTACCATAGGGTCGTAGAGGCAGTGAAGCCTGGGTCTAGCCCCTGAGGTCAAAGCCAAGATGCAAACGAATTTGTCGTCGTTTTGGGCGGCCGCCTGAGCTCCTCTCGGCACACCGCGCAAACCATGTCGAGCCAGCAAGTTCTAGGTTTTGGCTGCACTTTTAGCTGTTAGGTTGTTGGCAATCAGGCAAGGTCGCCACCTGTAGATTCAGATGCATTGGGCAGTCGTGCTTGCTTTCAGCTAGAGGAGACGCACTAATAAGTATACCTTACCCAGTACCCGCTGCCTTGTCCTCACTTTGAAATTACCAAGGTTATCTTTTGCATTTGCTTTTGCACTGGTGTGAGTGGCAGCATCTACGATGACGATGCAGTCGGGCCCCTGCCGGTGACAGTTGTGTGTGCTAGCTATAGTTGCTGTGGCAGTGGTAGAGAGCTCACAAGTTCACAAGTCAAGGTTGCTTTTTGATTGTGTTATTTCAGCACATTCAGTCACGTTGTTGCTGGAGTTGCTGACTGCTCGTGCATGTGCATGGGCAGTGCGGCAGTGCGGCGGTAATATCAAGATGTTGCGCAGTTTTCAGGCCAAAGCCTTGCATGGAACCTCAGACCGTCTTAGACTTGTTGACCTGAAGCATGGCGACGCCGGGGACTGTTTCTCGGTCCGTTTGGACCGTAATTGACAGACCGGTCGGTTGCATCATTGCGTCAAACAATGGTGGCATCCTGGTGCTCAACGAGAACACGGTGACAATGACCATGGCGCAAGATGCAGCAGAGGCCGCAAGCGGAAGGAGCAGCAGTGTGCCAGATGCTCCAGAACAGTTCCGAGGACGAAGTGGGCCTGGTGATGATTCCGGTGACGGTGACGGTGGTCCTTCTGGCGGCTCTTGTGCCTGCTGCCACGAAATGCGCCTAATGAACCTCTACCTTCAATACCTTTTGGAGAAGGAGAGGAGGGCGAGGAGAGCCAGGACCGTTGCTTCAGATGATAATTCCCAGGCTGAGGGCAGGATGCGGAACTTCCAATTCCGTCTTCCGTTGGGAGATGCGCGGCCGAATCCCATTGATTTGGCCGGGTCACTTGACGAGCCCAGCGCTGCTCCGACTGCTGGGGCGGTCTCCGTCCGCAAGCGTGAGGTCGATGCAGAGACGTTCCAGAATGAGGGCGATGGTTCCACGGCCAGCATGGCCTGGAAGAGATTGAAGGCATCTCCAGTGACGCTTGCGCCGTTGGAGCTTGACTGCTTTGGTGAGTACTTGCCAGACAATGTACAGTTTCTTAATGCAGCACCCTCCAAGAAGTAGTGGCATGGCATGGCATGGCCGCAGACTGTGGGTCGTCGGTGGGTTGTTGTGTTTAAGGACGAGCTAGCAAGGCTAAAGCAGCAGTAAGGGAAGCATTAAGTTTAAGAGGCGGGGTTTCGCGCGGGCAACTGTCAACAGTATCATTTCAGGGCATAGAGATCCGTTGAAGACGGATGGTCAATAGCAACATGGATATTGCAGTCTATCCTGCAGCTCATTGAGTGGCAACTTGAGGTAATGGCAGTGTTGACGGCCATGTCTTGTGCCATTGCTTTCACCGGGTTTGATTCTCGTGAGCAAGTCAAGTCTGTGAGACCTGGCGGAAGTTTGGGGTATGGCAGAGCAGAGCAACCAAAGTATGGCAGCGACCTAACCTCAAGGTAATTTGGTTATGTAATCATAAGAATCATAAGTTCACTTTGGCGTTGCAGTAGCACCCTGATTTTGTGCAACGGGGGCAAAGGCAGCTACTGTCCCAATTATTATTTGCTTCGGGACTTTAGGCGGACTGCAGCTCGAAGCTCACGGTCATCAGAGTGCGAGACTCCAACGCCGCTTTCGTAATTTCCCAGACCTTCCAAAATCCCTTAATTCAGGAATATACCTGAAACCGTAACTTAAACCATATTAGGGATCCTACTATGATTTAAGATTATATTCCTTAATTAAGGTATTTTGGAAGGTCTGGGTTGGTTGATCAACCCCACGTTGGCCCAAGTGTCATGTGTTGGAAGTGTGTTTGTGATTTGCGACCCCAATCTCACAAGTTGACTTGAAGACTCCAGCGCCAGCTTCATCGTGGCAAGTTGGCAGCAGGACCTTGCGAGTCACACCGTCACAGCTCAGTTTGTTGAAGTTTGCTGTAGGACCTGCATCCCCAGCGTCATACCTCGCGAATGTCCTCAGAATGACATTGTAACATTGCTTGCCAGCTTAAGTTTGCAGCAGCGTAGCCTATAGGATTATCGTGTCCTGCTCACCGACTATACTAAACCAATGCGCAGGTTCGCCATCCACATACTCTTGTGCATCGAGTCGAGGACGCCTGGGGCCGTCTGGTCTCACCAGGGCCGACTCCAACTGCTTGCAGTCTTGCAATTGGTAACTTGCGTTTCGCCGTTTGCAGCTTCAGTCAGATGTCTTATTGTCATTGTTCGGAGGGGTGACGGCTTGTGATTTGGGCTACAATAAAGTGGCGTACCTCTGTACCTCGCCTTTTCGTACATATCTCACGATTGCTAGGATTGGATTGTCGATGGCGGGTCTGTTGTGGTACTGTAAGACAGCATGTCCTGAAGCAGCGACAGTTTTTGCGAGCGCGCATGGCTTTAGCCGTGCTACCATGCATTTGCACTTTGTGCAAGGTACACTATATCATGCTTAGTTTAGTGGGGCGGCGCGGCTGCAGAATTCCGAGCGCACGTCGCCCCCATCCCAGCTCTGCATCCTGCCTGCGTACAGTACAGGGCCATGTGGACCACACTGGTCCTCGGGCCCGGCTCGGGAGCAACACCAGAAGCGGACCCAGCACTTTCGACTGTCGATGCGAAATCGCAGACGCTGTGGAAAACACGTCTGGCAGCCGTTTGTGTTCGAATGCTTGGTTTTGCTGATTAAGCAAGTGTAGCGCAGGAGCAAATGTTGGCATGCCTGCCACGCTGCTATGCTAGAGCCGCTAGAGCAACATGCAGGGATCACATGATGGTTGCAAGGGTCACAAGGTTAACTCTCTATGTGAATGTTTCGCCTCTTTGTTGCTGACCCAGTCAGCTGGCGTGAATCGTTCGCCTCTCTGTTGCTGGCCCTGTCGGTGGCCCTGTCGCCGTCGCCTACTTGCCTGAATGTTTCGCCTCTCTGTTGCTGGCCCTGTCTGTCAGCTACTTGCGCGAATGTTGCGCCTCACTGTTGCTGGCCCTGTCGGCTATACTTGCGCGAATGTTTATCCTCTTTGGGCCAGATTCGAAAACTTCAACACCATCCCACGAGGCCCTCTGAGGGTTCAGCGGGGGCCGGGGCACCTTCCCAAGGCCCTCTTCTGAGGCTTCAGCCGGCGGGGGCCGGGGCACCTTAGATGTGCGTTTGGGATTTGGCCAGATTAGAAAACTTTAGAACCAAAGCAATTTTTGTTTCCTTGCAACAAGAGCAAAACGCACATAGACGTCATCGATGTGCGTTTTGGATTTGGCCAGATTAGAAAACTTTAGAACCAAAGCAATTTTTGTTTCCTTGCAACAAGAGCAAAACGCACATAGACGTCATCGATGTGCGTTTTGGATTTGGCCAGATTCGAAAACTTCAACACCATCCCACGAGGCCCTCTTCTGAGGGTTCAGCCGGGTTCAGCGGGGGCCGGGGCACCTTCCCAAGGCCCTCTTCTGAGGCTTCAGCCGGCGGGGGCCGGGGCAGGATTTGGCCAGATTAGAAAACTTTAGAACCAAAGCAATTTTTGTTTCCTTGCAACAAGAGCAAAACGCACATAGACGTCATCGATGTGCGTTTTGGAATTGGCCAGATTCGAAAACTTCAACACCATCCCACGAGGCCCTCTTCTGAGGCTTCAGTCGGGGCGGCCTCCTGGAAAAGGTGCTTCGGCCCCCACCCCTGCTGAAGCCTCAGAAGAGGGCCTTGTGGGAAGGTGCCCCGGCCCCCGCCGGCTGAAGCCTCAGAAGAGGGCCTTGGGAAGGTGCCCCGGCCCCCGCTGAACCCTCAGAAGAGGGCCTCGTGGGATGGTGTTGAAGTTTTCGAATCTGGCCAAATCCAAAACGCACATCGATGACGTCTATGTGCGTTTTGCTCTTGTTGCAAGGAAACAAAAATTGCTTTGGTTCTAAAGTTTTCTAATCTGGCCAAATCCCAAACGCACATCTGAGGCTTCAGCCGGGGCGGGGGCCGGGGCACCTTCCCACGAGGCCTTTTTTTGTGAGGCTTCACCTTCCCACAGGGCCTGCTCAGCCAAGGCGGGGGCCGGAACACCTTCCCACAGGGCCTGCTGACGTCGCTGGTCTGCCGCTCTCCTTCAGCTTCTTCTTCTGAGTGTCGCTCGTTGAAAAAAGTTCATTCCAATAAGTGCATTTATGTCAATCAAACAACCGACCTGGCCTAGATACTTTCATTAACCACTAAACTAAACTGCAAAACATTTTGGATAAAAAAATATTAACAAAAAAACAAACAACAATTGATATTTGTTCTAGCGAAAACACAAACAAAGATATAATATCTGCAACAAATAACCGAATGCCAGCAATCCAGGATCCGGGGCCCGGCTGGCTCACCAATCCCTGGGTCCGGGCCTGATCGGTGAGCCGGCTCACCAATCTTGGGGTCCGGGCCCGGATCGGTGAGCTGGCTCACCAATCCCTGGGGTCGGGGCCCGGATCGGTGAGCCAGCTCACCGATCCGGGCCCGGAATCCAGGGATTGGTGAGCCAGCTCACCGATCAGGGCTCGGACCCGAGCGATTGGTGAGCCAGCTCACCGATCCCGGCCCGGACCCCATTCATTGGTGAGCCAGCTCACCGATCCGGGCCCGGACCCCAGGGATTGGTGAGCCAGCTCACCGATCCGGGCCCGGACCCCCAGGATCCGGGCCCCGACCCCAGGGATTGGTGAGCCAGCTCACCGATCCGGGCCCCGACCCCAGGATTGGTGAGCCAGCTCACCGATCCGGGCCCGGACCCAGGGATTGGTGAGCCAGCCGGGCCCCGGATCCTGGATTGCTGGCATTCGGTTATTTGTTACAGATATTATATCTTTGTTTGTGTTTTCGCTAGAACAAATATCAATTGTTTATTGTTTTTTTTTTTTTAAAAATTTTTTTTTATCCAAAATGGTTTGCAGTTTAGTTTAGTGGTTAATGAAGGTATCTAGCCCAGGTCGGTTGTTTGACTGACATAAATGCACTTATTCGAATGAACTCTGAAGAACACCTGGTTGGTTGCTGCCTTGACAACTGTTGCAATTAGGTTGTTGACTCAACTTTGTTGCCTTGTCTGAGATTGATGTCAGAAACTTCTTTATTCGTTTGCTATTTGCTGCAAGTGCATTGGTTTATCGCTTCCAGCTGAAAACCTGTCCCAGTCACACGGCATTCTAAACTGCCTATACCTATTCCTGTCAATAGGACAAGATTCATGCACTGGAGCACTGCTACTCCCCAGCCGTTTCGGCACAGCTCGGTCCTGTCAGGCGGGGAGCCGACCCTCTCCTGCTCCCAGCTCGCTCCCAGCTGCAAGGCGGTGCGTGGAGAAGCATGACGCAGGCTGCTTCTTCCACCAAGTCGTCCTCTCCGGGCGAGGCAGCCCAGAGCCGTGGTCTTCTTGAAGGGGTGGCTCCTCACGAGGTGATCCAGAAAGGGATCGACCTCTTCGATCCAAGCCTCACGGTGGAGGCCTTGTGGGGCTCTACTCCGCCCTCTGGTGGCGCTCTTCTTGAAGCGGTTTTGGCGTTCTACTCCGACGGCTGCCACGACGTTCCGTGGTACTACAACGAGACTTCCGACGGCGGCCCCTCCAAGAAAGCTCGCAGCATCGTCAGGTCGCCCTTGTCGCGCGAACTTCAGGAAGCAACGGTTCAATCCTACGCAGACAGAGTCATCCGCGAAAGTATTTCGCAAGTGGCCGCAGGCCAGGTTCGGAGATGGTTTCACTTTTGTCCTTCGCCTCTACTGACTCTACTGCTGCTACTGAATCTATTGTGCAGCTGAATCAAAGTTTGCAGTCTGCATGAGTGCTTCATCGCTGGGTGGCAAGTGCATCAGGTCTTGTCCTGTCAGGCCTGTCAGGCCAGGGTTGCAATTGTGAGCATGCTTACTCCGGCCGCAGGAGAGCCCATCTTCAAGTTTCGCACGATGGATCGGGTCCTTCCGTGCGAGGCCGGAACGTACAACCACCGGGCCGAAGCCGTGTACAGGGCCTCCGAGATTGCGCCGACGCACCCCAACGTGGCTCCGGTGCTTGAGAGGGGCCTCAAAGCCGTAAAATTCGTGCACCCCCGAATTCCGGACAAAGTGTGGCATCGCTTCATAGTGACCCACAACAGCTTTCACACTGGCTCTGGCGAGAACTTCCTTGACTACTTGCAAGAATCCATCACGATGGAGGCCGATTGGGAATTGGAGACAGCGAGGACAGGTTTGCATAGCGCAAACCCAAGGTACAAAGCCGTCTACAGAGACTTCGTGCTCAGCAGAAGACTCATGGTTGCATTGACTGGCAATTACTGAGTTCACTGTGAGTTCCAGATCTGCTGAAATAGTGCTATCAGATATCACGAGTTGCAGCTTTAAGCCTGCGAGCGCGGGCGGTGGGGAACACGTGAAAATGCTGGGCTATGTTGTGAAGTTGTGCACATGTCATGTTTCCTATCCCAATGGGACCAAGGCTTGTACTTTCGCGATTGGGATGCATTCCGGAAGGCGCTCTCGCTCGCGCATATGTTGCGTAACAGATTCAAGGTCTGGGAGGCCTTTCGGACGTTCTGCAACAGCCATGTCGATTTCCTTGGCTCAGAGATGGATCCTGCAGCAGTCATCGCCTCGAAGCATCAACTGGCCTTGCTGGTCATCGGAAATATGGCCAAGTATTACAGTGTCCAGCAGACGGCCGTCATGCTGTTGCACTCTTTGAAGCACTGCGTACCTTTGTGGCATATGCTGTACTGGTTTAGCGTTGTATGATAGTCATGGCTCTATATACCATATACACCAACCCACCTGCAAAGCCGAGTTGAGAGTCCGTTTCTTTTGGACGCGGGGGGAGGGGGGGCGAGCGTCGTGAACATCAGCATATTCTTGAGGGTGATTGGTCGTGGGAGTCCTGGGTTGGTGGACGGATAGGGGCCGTGGTGGCTCGCACTGCTGGACACCCTCAGTTTGGGAGCTGAGACTAGGGTCAGGCTGTTGGGGATTACGGGTTTGAAGAAAAGCTGCTAAAATATATCTGTAAAAAAATTAAACCAACTACACTCACCCAGACCTTCCAAAATCCCTTAATTAAGGAATATACCTTAAATCATAGTAGGATCCCTAATATGATCTAAGGTATATTCCTTAATTAAGGGATTTTGGAAGGTCTGGGCAGTACTCACTACACCCTTTAACTTCAAACCGTAAACGCTCGAGCAGTGAAGCCCTCACCGTTGCACCCTGAAGTCCCTGAAGTCTTGCAAAAATAGGCACCGCCGGCCTTTGCTTTTGAGACTGTAAGATCCTAAAGGCCCCCAGACCGAGAAAAGTGTTTTTATGCGTGCTGTTAGTGCTTATATAGTGGTGTTGAGTTTTTCGGCTTTTGGGCGTTTGGACCTCTTGGTGCTCAGTGCTCCAAATTTCCAAGTCGATGCTTGTTTCGGGAAGCACAGAAACTTAGATATAATGTCGCCGCCTCATGCGGACTCATGTCGCCAAGGGCGGTGGTTGGGCAAAGGATCAGGTTGCCAGGTGCTAGCAGATTCTCGCACCTTTCAAAATATCGGGGGTCTTCTCGCGAGACCGCGCGGACGCACGGTACTGTAAAATGGCAACATCCACATCCCACATCAGATCAACATCCATTCCGTGTCTGCTAGAGGCTCCAGTCTAAGAATCATGGAACCGTAGGATGACCGACCATCAACTTCAACCACAATTTCACTGGAGCTTCGCAGCTTCGCCTGGTGCTTTCGGGGTCATTGAGGTTGCTGGGTTGACTAGACGGTCGGAGATGGGAAGGTCGCAAGGTCCTGTGTTATTCAGTCGTTCAGTTCATTGTTCAGGATGCCGGTTTGGCAGGGATGTGGGAGTAAGGAAGGTCAAGGCCAGGCATGGGTTTGAGACAAACAGTGGTGGGCGACTGGGTCTTTTACGTTTCACAATCCGTGCTGCCCGACCCAGCATTGATTATGTGATTGCCCCTACTACTGACCCTAATGACCATAATGATCCCAAACAGTCCGAGGTCCCCAAGGCCACCGGCAAGAACAGCAGCGAGCGCCTTGCTGGCTGGACGTTCAAGCACTGGGAGCAGGACTCAGCCCGCATGAACCTCTTCAACTTACCAATGACTGACTCTGCCGTGGTGAAGAAGCTGACCGTGCAGAGTGCTGAGCAGGAAGGGGCCAAAACTGGCAAGCGTGCTCAGGTCTGTGGTGACGTTCGCAGTGAGCTGGCCGGGCTGGGGGTCCGTGACAAGAAAGCCCGCGTCGAGGCTGCGACGACTGTGACGAGTGACATGCCTGCTCCAACGGCCCCGACAGATGCTCCGCAACAAGGACGCTCGTGATTCATGCAGTTTTTTTCGAGCGAATGAATGAAACACAGAAAACACAGCTTATTAAAAGCTTATACCACTTACTAGATAAGCCGCCTTGCGTAGTATCGTGATTCGTGATGGCTTTCAGGTGCAGCTCCAAGTGTCCTGGGCGGCGCAGATGGCTCCGACAGCATTAAGCCCACAGAGCTCAAGCTGAAAAAATCCGACAAGAAGTCAGCCTTCGTCCCCTTCTCCATGGAGGAAAAGAAGATGTTTCGCAAGTTCATTGTGCCCACCTGTCCCACCGAAGACGACCCCGCGACTCGGGCGCTCACCGCGCTCGACGACTTCATGCAGGCCATGAAGTACGCAGAGCACGTTGTCAAGGCCTGGGCTGTCGGTTGTTCGATTCCTTAGCTTTGGGTTCAGCTTGAACGCTCGCTCCGATCATTCCTGATGAGGCCGGTGCGGAACACGACGCTTCGTATCCACTATATAAACCCTAAATCCGAACCTTAAACCCTAAAGCCTAAACCCCGAAAGTGATACATAGAAATTGCCTGTCTTTGGCCCAAAGACAAGCAATTTCTATGTATCACTTTCAGGGTTTAGGCTTTAGGGTTTGGCTCCTCAAGCAAATGGCTTCTCTGTTTTCGAGCAAGTTTGCTGATCAAGAAAATGGCTCCTCTGTCTCCGGGCAAGTTTGCTTATCAAGGTAATGGCTCCTCTGTCTCGCTGATCAAGTAAATGGCTCCTCTGTCTCCGGACAAGTTGGCTGATCAAGTAAATGGCTCCTCTGTCTCCGGGCAAGTTTGCTGATCAAGTAAATGGCTCCTTTGTTTTCGAGCAAGTTTGCTGATCAAGTAAATGGCTTCTCTGTCTCCGGGCAAGTTTGCTGATCAAGCAAGTGGATCCTGTGTTTTCGGGCAAGCTTCCTGATCAAGTATATGGCTCTTTTGTTTCTGGGCAAGCTTGCTGCTCAAGTGCATGGCTCCTCTGTCTCCGGGCAAGTTCGCCGAGCAAGGAAATGGCCCCTCTGTCTCCGGACAAGTTGGCTGATCAAGTAAATGGCTCCTCTGTCTCCGGGCAAGTTTGCTGATCAAGTAAATGGCTCCTTTGTTTTCGAACAAGTTTGCTGATCAAGTAAATGGCTTCGCTGTCTCCGGGCAAGTTTGCTGATCAAGCAAGTGGCTCCTGTGTTTTCGGGCAAGCTTCCTGATCAAGTAAATGGTTCCTCTGTCTCCGGGCAAGTTGGCTGATCGAGCCGCAGCCCGCATCCTCCAGCCCAGCCCCAGTCCCAAGTCAGGTTTCAGTCAGAAAACCACGGGGCTCCGAGGTCCGCAGGCTCAGGCTCAGACATCACATGACGTTTGTCCAGGTTGATCTAGGCAACAGCGGCAACACCGCTGCAATGCGAACGTCCATGTCCTGGCTTAGCATGAGACGAAGATTGTGGGGACCTAGCCAACTGTGAACATATCCAAGTCTGTTGAATCAAGTGAAGCCATGTTGCCTTACATGTTTTTGGTGTCTACCAAACCGCTCTTGCAGAGTCGTACATGTCACGATTTTGCAAGCACAGACCACTGTTTGTTGAGATATAAACGTACATTGTGGAAGATCGAGGAATTGAGCCTCCTCTCTGAGCCTCCAGCTAACAGGTGCCCCCTTCTCGGGGATGATGACCAAGGCCGCGGTCCCAAAATCAAGACACCGTCAAGACACCCAATTTTCGAAACGAGTCATGCTAGTTAGCTAGGATGGATTGAAGAATCCACTGCTGAGGGAATTAGGCATCAAACCATTTGATCTCGAGTCGTTCTGTTGGGTGAGTGGTGAGGAATTGCATGGAGATGATGTGCCAAAGGACAGCTTGGACAACACTTTCTCATTCTGTGTCGCTGGTACGAGTTTCAAGTCTTGGTTTCTCTATATTGCCGGGCTTAGGTCTTGGGTGTGTCGATGTGTCACGGTTTTGTAGGAAAACCTTCTCCCCATCCGTGATAAGTGACACCCAAGACATAGCTGAGGCAGGTCTGTTTTTGCAATTCGTCTTCGATGGCCGAGTTTGTCTAAGTGGAAAGGACCTCCGCGTGTGGACGGGGGCCAGGGCGGAGCTCCAAGCCACATATGTGGCCGCATTAGACTTCATGAGGATGCGAGATAATGCGACTGAGTCTTCGGCAGCTGGCCCATCCGGTGCGGACCGCAAGGTCGGGGCGCTTGATCTAGCCAAGATGCTCTGCGATTCGTATGTGAATATCCCGGTGCAAACTCTGGTGCTCGACGCCGATGAATCGCAAAGTCTTCGGCGTGTCGCAACAATCATGAGTACGCAGTTCACTGACGTGGTGCAGCCGCTGCGAGAGTTCTTGGCAAAGTATATCAAGCTACCGGTCCTCATGCATGACACTGTGCGAGACACACTGTCGGGGCCACTGGCACTGCATCAAGTTAAGTTTTCGAGACCCCGCAGGCTAGTACAACAGTCTGATACCTAAATCATCATAAGTAATGACCAAAACCCTAGCTATAGTCTCCAATGAACTTCTGAAGTGGCTCACCGTTTTCACGGTTAGGATCCGATATTACACATGTACTTTAACTAGTACTAGTACTAGTGTAACCCTAACCGAGCTACATTGGACATCCCATACAAACCCAGATAAACAGATCCCTACAGCCTAAAACGCCCTAAGCCCCAAAGCCTAAGCCTAAGCCGCATCGGGTGTAAATTAATTCTTTGCACCAGGTTGATGAACCGGTCAGTGAAGAGGATGGATTTGGTCGATTTGATTTGCTTCATTCAGGGCTATGTCGAAGCCGTCTTGCCATTTCAGTGGACGCTGTTTGCCACAGACGTGGCTGAGCTATTCGCAGCACGCGGCCACTTCGTGGAACGCACGGACGAGGCCATCAGCCCATCAGCCCATCAGCTCATCTTTGTGTTTGTCACCGTGCTTGATGCTAGCTAGCGCTGCAGTCGGATCACGTCGTCAGGGTAGCCTGCCCATGTGATGCAAGCCACAAGCAGCATAAGCAAGTGATTGTGCTTGTGAGTTGGCGAATGAATCAAAATGACGCAGTACCTTCATCCTTCATCCATCAAGTTTGTTGGCAGGTCTTTGACCAGGCGTCCTTGGCAACCTTCCTCAGCTTCCGCCTGCAGTACCTGGCGCGCATCATTAGCTCAGCCTGCACATGTGTGCCAGAGTTGGTGCTGACCAACGTTGGAGACAAAACGTGGCAGATGCTGTCTGTTTGGGGCGAGAAGGTCCATGAGTCTCTGGACATCCTCGTGCCGTTTGATTCGATGCTTTCCGCAGCAGACTGGGCCCCCCGATGGGCCGAAGTGTTGCAGCAATCGGAGACGGCAGCAGAGATCAACAGGGAAGTCGCGTCCAAGGTGGCGGTTTCACAGCATCCAGAGGCATCAACCGGGGCCGCAGCTTTTGTCCAGATTCGCAAGCAGCCGGAAGTGCAGCCATCCAACCAGGGTGGCAACAACAAGGGCGACGCGAGGCTTGCTGAGAACCCCGGCAAGTCCGAAGAATCAGGAGCCCTGACGTTTCGTTGGCCCCACCTTACTTACTTTGCGCCCGCCGTTGCTTCTGAAAGGTTTCTTAGGGTCTGCGTTTTGGGGTTTTGGGGTTTTCGCAGCTTCTTCCTTTGAGCGTCAGCCTCTGTAGTATGAGGACGGCAGAGCTCTGACTCTGTGGGTAGCGTGAGCGTGACTGCCATGAACGACTACGTCAGCGAGGCATTCAAGGAGTCGTCGACAGCTTCAGCCGAGTGCAAGGCCCTCGGCCTCAGCAGGGTCTGCGCCAAGGTGCTGAAGAAGTTGGAATGCAAGCTTAATGCTGCGATTTGGGATGTTTACGAGTCGTGCTCTTCCGAGATGTCGGGTGTCCACGTCAACATCAAGACTGCAGCCGCTAAGGGTGGCAAAGATGCGGTTCAAGTGAACCTACCAATTCCTGAAGGAATGCGCCTGCCGTCTGTCCATCGGCTCTCAGCCACCAAAGGGCCCAAGGCCATTTGGTGTTGCAAGATCTTTGGTGTTCCTGAGCTGAAGTCGGACCTTTCTGCATCTCGCTAAGTTCATCGTAGATCTTAGGCTTAGGGATGGTTTCGTCGCACGCGTGAGCATCTTTAGCCCATCTAGGGTTAGCGAAGTTGTTCTGAGAGAATACCTCAGAGGTGCTTGAATCAGTGCTTGAAGTTATCCTAGCTGCATGGCTTCGTCCTAATCGCTGCAGCCTACATGCCGTTCATGTTGGATTTAGAGATGGACCAGAGATGGATCCCCAGACTCATCCCGTCTCAGGTTGACTTCTTCATGGAAGCTTGCAAAGACTGCCTCACCACAGATGTTTGTGTCCCAGCCTGGTCGTCGCGGCCTGTTTCGCGCAACGACCAGGCCTTCTTCGAAGCCGTTGCCGTCAAGCAGAACGTCATCATGTTCATGACGGGCCCCGGGGACTTGGACTTTGACGTGAAATTGTTGCCTGCTTCGGCTTCGGATTCTCAGTCTGGGCCCGCAGACAAGATCAAGGAAGAGGTGGGCAGCAGGCATGTTGTGGTGCCGCTGACCATACAGTGCCTGGCGCCCGTGCCCGACTTGCAGGATCTTAGCGAGTTGCTGCCGAGTGTTTCTTTTCAATATACTCATAGGACTCAAAGAAGCGGTCTTATGTAGTCGTTTACCCCCCGCGGCGCCAGCCCATGCCGGGCCAGAGCCATCCGAATTCGTTTCTCGTCGGTCAATACCCGTCCGAATTCTTTTCTCGTCGGTCAATACCCACCCGAATTCTTTTCTCGTCGGTCAATACCCATCCGAATTCGTTTCTCGTCGGTCAATACCCATCCGAATTCTGTTCTCGCCCCGCCCCAGCCGCGAGGACAAGCTGGACAAAGATCTGAAGGATCAGCGTGACAGTGTGGAAAAGCAGATTCGCAACTGGATCACGACTGCCACGAAAGCCAAGGCTAAGGCAGTTAAGAGCAAGCGAAAGCATGCCGCTGCGAACGATGACTCATCCAACCAGAAGACTGACAAGACTACCGTTGCCATGTTCGAGACGCTTGGATTGGACATGCCGGCTGACAAGGATGAGCAGATTGCTTGCTTGAACGAGCTGAAGGAGCAGGAGGTGAGGTTTGAGAGCCTCGTCCAGAAGGCCAGGGATGCCATTCAGATGCCCAGCGCCATCCCGCTGACGCGACTACAGGGTGACGATGATAAATCGCGCAATGTGCGTGCCAAGCTCATGCAAGAGGCGCTGGAACAGGCGCAGAAGGAAGAGCAGGGCGGAGGCGTTGCGCAAGAGGAGTGGGAAGCCTCTCGATTCGGTGCTGTGGCGGCAGTCAAAGCGGCGCAGCAGGGTGCGGGTGTTGTCGGCAAGGATGCGAAGGACTGGGACTTCAATTGAATCCAGTAGAGTCGTGAGTTATTTCGGGCATTTAGGCCGGTCGAAGGGGTCCGTGTGTAGCTGTAGCAGCTCATCCCATCCTAGCTTTGTTGTTGGTTTCGGCAGGACAAGAAGAAGAAGAATTCCGTTGCGAAGGATGTGCTTCAGATGGGGAAGCATATGCTGAAGTAGCATGGCCTTCGCGTGACCTTTGTCAATGGCAATGGCTAGACCATTCCAGGTGTGCCGCAGCAAGAACCGGATAGCCGAGCGATAAAATTCAGATGAGCAGTTTTTGGTACTGCCCGCAGCCCCCGCATGCTAAGCCTGAGGAGTCGTATCATCACTGTTATCAGGACAGCTTAGGCAGCTTGCGTGTAGAACTGTGTTTAAACTGATCGTCGAATCGTGTAGGTCGTCCAGTTCCAGGGGCAGCGGGCACGGGTCACACACACACGTGACGGCAGGGGCTATGGCTGGCCCAGACATGGTGTTCACTTCTGTGCTGGCTGTTTCCTAGCCTAGCCCTCTGCAGTTTGAGAGTCAGAGTCCTCTGGGAGGACTGCCGTTTTCTTTTACGACCAAACGTGTAGTAACCGTACAAGCTTGAGTCCGATCTGTCTGCGTGTCACAATGGCACCAGCAAAACCAGCAAGCGGCGAAGCGGCTTGGCTTGGCTGGCAGTGCGGCATTTTTTCAGCGATACACAATCCCTTGTTGCCCAAGCTTCAGTTTTGCAGCTGCGTGGCTATGCAGTCTGACTTGCTTCTGAAACCTGATATGTGTAGTACTGCGAAAGAACACTTGAGCAACAGGAGATTAGCTGACGGCTCGCTGCATTAATATCTTTGCGTACGTTAGCTTGTGCTTGTACTTGGATTTGGGCTTGGAGCGTGGGCCTGAAGAAAACAGCTGCGGAACTGAGACTGAGCCCTTTGACTCGGCATGGTTTCCTCAGCTCATGTGCGGATGCGTGTGTAGTGGCAGCATTGTCGAAGTTGCGTAGCAGCTCAGCAGCAGCGGCAGCAGCATTGTAGCACGGCTTGTGACTTGTCACGCTGAGGCTGAAGTCAATTTCAATTTCGACTCCTCCGCCATTGCCGTGAAAGTGCCGAGTGACGAGGCGCCGGACGAAGTACTTGCGCTTGTGACGTTTGTTGCCATCCAGTGAGACAAGTGCCCTCCAGTGACAGCTCCCGTGTGCTTCTTTTGCTAGTAGTCATGTTGAGTCATGTTGCTGCGATTGCGAGAATTTTGTTTTATCTTCGCTGCCTCCGGCCATCACCGGGCCATTACCGCATTGGGCCGCATTGGGTCTGCTCTCAGGCTCTCAGGGTGTAGCATGGGAGAGAACGCTGTCGGGTTCAGCTGTGTGCATGAATGATACAAGGTGATGAGCAGGGCTTGGGCAGGGTTGGCCTGGGTCATTCCGGTGTTCCGCTGGAGCCAAGAGTCAAGAGGAGTGGTTTTGAGACATTAGTTTTGAGGCTTTAGTTGTAGGGAGAGGTTGTCTGTAAGTTTTGAAAATAAAAGTAGCATGTGGCGGGCGGTATGACCCAGCACGACCAGCAATGTTTCGGGCTGCTTGTGCCATGCTTGGCTGCACAAGCCATCTGCCGTGGGGAACAGAAGCACATTCTCATGCCTTTTCAGTGTCGCCAGGTTGCCAAAGGCGGCACGTTCTTTTTGCTGGAAACAAAGAGTGAAGCATGCTCTTTTCCAGCCGTTCGCCAGGATGAGGCCTACCTTTACAAAGTTGTTGCGGAGTTGACTTTTGTTGCCAATCGACGACTTTCGGACGATCAGCTTGTAGCCATGTCATCATTAGGGAAATGTGGCATCGGGAGCGACAAGACCGCTTTACCCAGAAATCTTCATGAACTAGATGCTTTGAAGACGAGTTTGGGCATCCAGGAGGGTTCCCACAAGAAGTTCAACATTGTTTGGGAGGTCAGCGTCAAGTCACGCTACGAGCCCAACCTGTGCGTGGCGCAGCCGCCTCTGCACAGCACTGACGACCTCGCGGGTGGTCTCAAAGGGGCTGCTCCATCCAAGAAGCGTAGATCAATGCAGGACTGTCCGTTGATTCGCGATCCATGGCATGGCGCATGACGGCAAGCTAGGTTGGTGTCGTGTGATGATAGTGATACCTATTACCGATTGCCTACTATCACTTCGGAGAAGTTGCCCGGGCCCGCCCCCTAAACTTCCACCTACCCCCCGAACCCGAAGCCCTCAAGCCTCAACCCCAACAAGAATCTGGTGCACTGGTGCCGCAGCGCTGCGCTGAGGGGTGACTCTGGAAGGTTTTTTCTGGACAAATAATGTATAATGTTGTGTAGCCTTATGATACACATCGTCGCCATATTGACTTGGCAGGATTCTGGCCATGCAGACGATGCTGAAGGTTATGCGTGGCTGACTTTCAGTAGAACTCTGGTACCGCCGCCGGTGCGGCAAGATGCCGCCTCCGCCGCCTCCGTTCCCTCTGGCGGTGATGCTGATAGTCGTGTCCTGGTGTCACATCCATCACATGCATCAGAACGATCAACCAGATCAACCAACACAGTGGATTCAATCGAGCGAGACCTCCACCAGCTTGTGCATTCGACTCCTGGTGGTGATTGCGAGCAGCCCGTCGCCACGGTCGCCCCGACGATTGCCGACCCCACGCAAGGCGCCGCCACACAGGTTGACTTGCAAGGCAAAGAACACGAGCCCGATGCAAATGCCCCTCTTCGTGAAGAACCTGTAGCTACGTGTGCAACTGTTCAGAAGCCAGAGGACAACGAGTCGGAGCCTGCGTCAGAGCCGATGCCGCAAGCGAAAGTAGACCATGACTCTGACGCCAACCGGGCTGCGCCAACCCCAACCCCAGTCCCAACCCCTGCTGAGTCTACTGAGGCTGAGCCTGAGAAGCACACTGAGGTGTCGCCAGAAGCTCTAGCTACTACTCCACCTACTTCCGCAGCGTCGCCAACTCAAGTGCCACACCCTGAGCCAGACCCACCGACTTCAGCAAGTGCGTCGCCGTCTCTTGTGCCAAGTCCAAGTGGCTCAGCCTCAGCAGATCCAGCTGAGTCTGCGTCAACTTCCGCATCAAACATGTTGCCACCAGAAGCTCCGCAAAGCTTCCGTGTTCGTGATCCAGATGAATGTGCCAAGCGGCCTAGGATGGTCAAGTCCATGGCCGAGTCATTCCTTTTCGAGGAGGACTGCTACGACACGTTGCATTCCGAGGAAGGGGAAGACAAAGTGACCAGAACTTATGAGGCCATGGCAGACGACTCCTTTTCGACAGCTTTTTCTGGTATAGAAGCAGCGGGTACAGCAGTCAACTGCTTGAGGCAAGCTTGGAGCAAGAAGACGGGCCTGGAACTCCCTCCGATTGCGGCATCATACCAGATCGAGTGGAACAAAGACTGCATCTCTGAATTGTTGCCGCATGCCAGACTTCACGGGACGTGCTTGTTCAAGAACATTGCCATGTTCTACCGACCAGAGCTCACAGAGACAGTCCAGCAACTACTTCAACAACCACATATGGCAGTTGAAGTGTTAGCTCCTTTGATAGCTTCCAAAAGAGCAATGAGGCTTGAAGCATTTTGCGAAACCCACGGCAAGCTCTGTAGTTTGCGCACTTGCAGGCGACACGTGGCTGGGACTTCATGCAAGCCATGGTCCAGGAAGGGTAGTGGCCTTGGTGCTTGCGATCCGGAGATCGTGTACACATTAGCGTGGGTAGGCCTCCGCCTCATGCTCGAAGATGCTGAGATCATAAGCGAGAACGTCAAGACACCCGGAGGGGCAGGGTTGAGTTCCTTTGCAAGGGACGGTGGCCAGCCTGTCCCTAGCGCGGCAGTCACAGATGCTGGATTGGGCAACCTCCTGTTGCGTTTCCTCTCGCCGATGTATCATCTCGAGACCACGATCCTGGATCCATCAATGCTCGGAGACCCCTTCTCTCGAGAAAGAGAGTTCGTGAAGATGTACCATAAAGTCAAAGTCCTCAGTCGGCTGAGCCCAATCAGCAGGTTCCAGAAGCGGTTCTATCGGATTTGTGCTTGGAGCTGGAAAAGCTTCTTGGCATTGTTTTTTTACTGTGGCTCTTTACTGTTTACTGTCATGTTATTGCCAGACTGTACATTGTACATTGTAGATACACTCTACACCTTGCGGCCCTGGGAAGTCGTGTGGTAGCAATCGTAAGGTTAGTCTCCTTAAAAGTCAAAAAGCTAAACCCTAAACTCCTAAACCCCGAAATAAAGTCTTAGACTCTGAGCCAGTCTTAGAAATCAGGCTCAGGCTCAGGCTTATAGGGACTTTCGAGAGGGCGCTTCAAGTCAACGAGCCGGTGTAGGGCTGAAGGTCTCTAGGTGCAGTTAGGCTGGTAGTTGGTTAGGATACGGCAAATTGTCAGGTCTGTCAGGCTGTAGGCGACGGGTAAAGTTTCGTAAATATTTAGGCCTGGGGCGGTTGAGGGTGTCGGCTTCGATTCGTTTCTTGCGGTAAACATAGGGTAACATTGTAACATCCCCGGTCCCCTCCGTCGAGGTGTCTACTTTATGCACGAGCCCGTGATGCGCTCGAAAGGCGTGTTGGGAGATGACTGCCAGGCTGAGCTGGATTGGGCACAGTGTCGTCCGACATCTCGATTCAAGGGATTCAAGGGGCAAGGTGAGGATCATGATCATGCAGATGAACAGCTTAAGCAGCAGCCCTTGGATGTCACTTGCCCATCCTCGTGGGAAATGGCCCTCAATGAGATGGAATACAGATTCTTGCAACAGTATCGGCGGGCGTGGCCTGACTCGGCTTATCAGCTCAACCAAGATCCCATGTCGGGTCACGGCCACCCCGCCAACGAGCTGGTCTTCTTCACCTTGATCG